CTTAAAATATGAACTAGAGAACTTGATTTTTATTAATTATCAGCACTTGTATTTATACATATTTTTGTATTATAGTGGCATAATGTGATACAGTAATGCGCAGTATGACACAGTATGTGATACAGTAGATCTACATTAATAATATGAAATTACTGGTTCTCTTCTAAATTACACAAAATTTAATTACATTATAATTAATAATCTTGTTCTACATATAAGTACCAATAGCAAAAATAGAAAATAAAGACTAAACTAATATAGATAATAATAAAATTTGCCAAGAAAATGGTGCAATTAATATATCTAAATAAAGATAACAATAAGATAAATATAGAAAAACAAGTAATATGAAAAAGAAAAAGAAGAAAATAGAAAGAAATAGAAAGAAGTAGAATATTATTAAACTATCTACGTAATTCAAATATCATTATGATTAATTTTTATCGTACTGCGTCTTTTGTTCATGTGTTCTTATTTTAAATTATTAATGATTATTAAATCAGTGACAATATACAACTTAGTTTCAACCAAAAAATTTTTAAGTAATTAAAATTTTAGATATTAATCTTATATTAATTTGATAATTTTATTAATAAATATATAATAAAAAAATTATTTATATTAATTTTATATAAAAGTGATCAAATTTAATAATAAAATTATTATATAAAAAAATTTGAAAATATAATTTTGTTTAACTCAAGTAATTCTATTATTTTACAACTAGATTTGGTATTTATTTTTATTGAATAAGAAATAATAATTTTAAATTTTATTAAATTTAGTAGTTAATATTAAGTTATATATTGTATAAAGAGAAAAACCTATATTTTATTATAGTTTATTAATAAATTTTAATATTGTTGCATTTTTTATTGTTACTATATATTTTTTTCTTGTTATTAAATTATTATAATTAAAATTTTTTTTATAATTATTCAATTTGATTTTTCCAAAATAATAGTTATAAATTTAATTTGTAATTCATATTAACTCTGTTTTAATTATTAATAAAATAATTTATTGTTAATTGAACTTCTTGTTTTGAATTTCAATTTTTGCTAGAAAATTATTATACAACAAAATTATTTTTATTGTTATATTTATAAAAAACTTCAAACAATAATAATTAAATACAATCAAATTATATTTATAATTATTACTTGAGTCATTATTATTAAGACAGTCAAAATAAACTATACTTTTTACTCAATTGGACTTTTCTGAGCAAGTGATTATAAAAAGTTTGACGATACCATTAATATTATTAATATAAAAAACCTTCATTAGTAGATACAATAGATTATTTTTTATTTCAAGTCAAAAGACATGTTCTTGACCGATAGAAACACTCGAATATAATTTTTTTATTCTCGTTAATTCGAATAACAAATTTTGATTTTGAGATTTTTATAATAATATATACAATAAATAGCACAACGTCTTTTTCACCGTTATCATTAGTTAGACTCGACAATGACGGCATTTACTTTACCTACTATCATCCATTACTATTATTATTATTTTGTTTCGGGACCTTTTTTGAGCCAAGCCCAATAGGCTTATATCCTTCCAATTTTCGTTTTTTCACAATCTCAACACAATCAAAGACCGTCCTCAGCTATTAGTTAATATTTAATATAAATTAATGTCCATTAAAAAGTTAAAATAGGAAAAATGAACTAAGACAACAAATATACCCTTGACGATCGCTCAATTTCGTTATTGTTACCCTCACCGAAAATATGAGGATAGGCTCTTATTGCTTGTTCCGGGATCGGAGGAAAGGTTGGCCAAGGTATGATGGGGTCAAATGTCATTTGGAAGTATTCCAGCTGAACAATACGAATGAGTGATTCCCATAGACTCGACTTCTCTCGGTCATCGTCATCATCATCATCATCTTGTGCAAACTGACACGCCGACCCTTCATCACAGGATACTACCGCTGTTGCTGCCTTATACTGGCACAATGTGCCTATATAAGAAAATGATGAAAGGAAGCGCGATAAAAAAACTTTGCGCACTCATCTCTTACCTTTTTTTCTTGTTTGTTCCTCATCCTGGTACTCTTCTTCTGATCTGTCTACAAACACGCCACATACACTACCTGTATCTGGGTCTACGACTGGCTGATAACCTTGTCCGAATGCCATTGGATCAGTTATGGATCGTGGTAATGAGGCGGTACTTGATGGTTCTAAAGAAATCCAAAAAGAAAAATATTAACTAATTTATTATGAAACATATAATATATTATTTCATCATGGATTCCAAACATTATTATGATGTTATAATATTTTACCGATCTCTTTCAATCCATTTTCTTCAATTAGGTGGCGGTTTTTCACGAGATATTCTTTATTCTTTCGTTTTTTTGATGATGACGCTATTGTTTAGTCGAATGTTGTTATAAAACAAACACAATTCAAATTCGTGATTGTTTAGGTACAAAGAACGAGAACAAAATGGAATAATATTAATTACGTGTATATAAAACGGGCAGCTTTTTAGTCGGCAATAAAGGTACCACCACTTCAATATTATCAGTATTTGTACATGGCTCCCATGCCCATTGCGCATTTTTTAGAGTTTCGGGTGTTATACCCTCGCCGCCCCAAATAGAACGCCCGCCTTTTGTAAATCTTGTGACTTTAAATTTAAATTAAAATTAATATCCATTTTGAAATCACACAAGTTCTTTCAAGACAAATCAAGCAAATCGGAAATGAAAATACGGCTTTCGTGGACACTTACATCCCTTGCGACCCATTTAGTTCTTTAAAAATGTCAAATAAAAAAATCACGTAGTAAACTAAATTTTTAAATTTTAAGGGTTAGGAAAATAGAAAATGTGAAATTTTTTAAATCGACGAACAAGAATAAAAAAAGAAAGATTGTTTGTTTGTTAACGTGTATTTACTTATACCTTTATATTTGTAATATAATGTTTTAATTAGTGCACCAATAGGGTATGAGACAACGACGATCTTATTGTCTTTTTTGAATAAAACAAGCTTGAGTCTTGTCTTTTATCAGGTGATTTCAATTTATTATAAGGCTTACCCCATCCATTTTCACCTAATAATATTATTTATATTTCTTATAATCATTATTAATTCCCTTTCACTCTAAAAAATTATCTGATAAAACTCACTTTTCTAATACAAAAAGAAATAATTCTTTAATATATCTGTATTTTATATTGTTATCATTTTACCTTTCATTATTATTATCACGTATTATTTTTAAGTACAGTAATATTCATTCTAATATTTTTCACTTTATATTTTTATCCAATAGCAATAATTTATATTCTTATTTAATTATTTTATATTATTTTAATTTAAATTTTATTATCATTTAAATAATCAATTAATTTATAGGATTATTACATCATTTTATATTCTAAATTCTATTAATATTTTATTTTTATTCATTATTACATTAATTTAGTTAGTAATACATAATAATCATTTGTACCAACATGTTTTAGATTTATATTTTTATTGGTTACTTTTTATAAATTATATATTGTTATGATATGACATTTGTCAAACAATTTTATTAAATAAGAAATATATTAATTATTATTAAATTATATTTATTAGTATTTCTATTATATAGTTGTTTTTTGATAGTTGTTATTTTATTAAACAATTATATATTAGATATTATTGGTTTTTAGCTTTGTATTACTACCAGCAATATCAGCAACATTAGTAATGCTTGTGTTAACATCAAAAATACTGATAACACTCATGTTTAATTAAATTAATGACAACAATAATAAAACCAGTTATATCATATAACATGTAATTTATATAAATATACTATATATTTTAGCTTAAAATAACTCAAGAAGTCTCTTGTTTGATAGAAACTTCAGATAACTTGTAAAGTTATATTTGTATTAGTTTTTGATCTTGAAAGATAAATCACTTATAATAAATCATTGTTATTAACTTGAAAAACAGTTACTTGATAAAATTATTATTTGAATCATAACTTTTGAAATTCTAAAATAATATACAAAACTTAGTAAAGTTATTGGACGTTATTCTAATTTATCACAACAAGAATATATTGTTACCATTTTGATTAATTTTTGAAATACTCAAAGGTATTTATAAAACTTAAGAAATATTCAAAGAGAAACTTTCAATGTCTTAATAATAATTCAAAGTATTAATAATACTTTATAACTATTAGACTGAATATGAATAAGTACTAAAAGTACTGTGACAAAATCACTTAAAGATTAATAACAATTGTGTTCTTTTAACGCAATAATCTAGATTACTAGAAAGAGTTCTCAAATTTTAGAATCAAAGTTATAGAGATTATAATATTCATATTATCAACAATATGAGATCGAAGATAAATAATATATTATCAGCAATACAAAATTAAAGATAAGTCTATGAGCAATATATTATCAGTAATACAATTTCAAAGTCGGATTTATGAATTATAATAATAATTTCTTTATTTAATATAATATTCAATAGATTTTATCACAAACATATTCAGATAATCTAGTATTAAAATAATAGCTTTTATAGCACTCCTGGCAAATGTGCTTAAGCTATTATAATATTAATTCAAGATCTATATAATACTTATGACAATAGTGCTAAAGTAATTATACAAGAAACAAAAATATTTTGTCAAAGGGATATAAAGAAGAATTTGCACTTGATTACTTACTGTTCTCATTAATTCAAAAATTGTTAAAATTAATGAATTAACAAAGTAACATAACAGTAAAAGAACAAAGACTAAATGCATTACAATTAATGGAGTTTACTAAAGATTCTAAAAATTTCTTGTGATAGCTTGTATGCTATTACGGTCCAGAATTATCCCCAATTTCTTAATTTCTTAATTTTAGTCATGTGATAAAATATAGATTGTAGAGATAGCAGAGTTCTCAGACATATTAATATTATTCGCTATATCATATTTATTCAAACATGTATAACATATCTTATATTGTAATAACTTAATCATAAAAATATTTTATATAAATAAAAGATCTTTTGGATAAACCA